TCACACGGAGATGGTCAGGCATGGGCACTGCCAGCGTGGCAGGGGAGGCCCTGCCCTCGGCCATGGCCAAGGACCTGCTCTGAGCCCAGCCCTGCAGGAGAGCCCAGGGGAATCTACCTCCAGTGCCAGCTCCTACAGCCCCCACAGCCACCTCCTGTCCTGCTGGGCAGTGAGACTGTCCACACAGCTACCTCGGCTGGGGTAAGGAAGCAGCTCCCTACAGGTCCCTGGGACTGCTCTCTGTGCCAGCTCTGCTACCCTGCTCCCTCCACTGGAGTGGAAGCCACCACTGTCCCACAGGCAGAAATGGGAGCTTGACTATAGAGCAAGGATTTGGGGTTGCAGTAATCCTGCAGTGAGTAGTGGCAGTCCCAGGGAATGATCAGCAGGCTGGGAACCGCAAGTCTGTGGGTGAGAACCTCCCTGGAGAAGGGACAGTGGCTGCAGGGTGTCCCTGGTGCTGGGACAATGGGGCAGCTCATGCCATCTGCACAGGGCAGCAGCACCCCAAAGGATTGGAGCTGGCCTTTGGAGATCAGTGAGGGCAGCACACCATGGGTAGAGCCTGGGACAAAAAGGAGCAAGAAGCTGTGCCAGAGGCTGATGCAAAGCCATGCACAGGATAACCCCACCTGGAAAGCTCCCTGTGCCCCATCCCCAGCCCTCCGGAACACGAGGGGATCACGCAGTGTCTCCACTAACCATTCACCATGTTCCACCTGTCATTTCCAAAGTAAATTCACTCATGCAAAACCAGTGTCTGACTCAGTTCAGCTCCGTGCTGGCAGCTGTGCCTCAGGATAACGGGAATGAGGATGGGGATGGGACAGAGCGTGCCCGGGGCCAGAGCAGGGCCAGGCTGGGTGCCACGGGGCAGCCATGCAAAGAGGGGCACAGCCCAAGAGCTGGGCACGGGCACAGGGCACCAACAAACCTCCTCTGCCCTCGTGCCAGTGCCACACCCCTGTGTGTCCCCCGGGCCATCCCGGGCCATCCCGGGCCTTCCTGCTGCTGCCCATCAAGAGCAGCCTCCAGAAAGGGACCGGGGCTGCTTTCCCCTTGGAGGACACAAACACGAAGGGCTGCTGCCATCTCCTGGGGGCTCTCAGGGCATGGACACCCCGGGATGGACAGGGACAAGGACTGACCAGCCAGGCTGGGCACTGGGCTGTGCCAGCCTTGGGGACAGAGCGTTGGGTCCCTGCTCTGCCTGTCAGCCCCTGACTGATGGCTTTGGCCCTGCTGCCTAAAAATCTGCTGCTCCAGAGATCATCTAAAGAAGACAGGGAGAAAGATAATGACCTGCCAATCCCTCTGGTCCTTTATTACTCCAGAAAAGCTCCAGATCAGTGTTTTCATCCCACAGGTTGGTGTGACATGCCCAGCACTGAGAGCCCCAATGCTGGGGGTGTTTATTTTCCATTCCCAGACACTCCTGCTGCCAAGGGCCAGGGTTTGCAGCCACCCAGCAAACCCCAACCAGTCCAATGAACTCCATGTGCTGTGGCCAGGCCAAACAGCCAGTCCAGGGTCTGGCAGTGCCCAGGGACTCCTCTCTGCCAGGCTGGATCCATCCCATGGGGCACAGCACAGCTGGGGCCAATGTAGCCGTGTCTCCCGCTGGGAATGGTGCTGACAGCTGCCACCAATTACCTGAGGATCAGAGACAACCCCTCTCTCTTTTAAGCTCCCCTGGTGCTGCTGGTGGGCTGAGCCTGGGAAGGGGGTGGTGGTTTTGCCCTCGGAGCTGAGGCCCAGCAGGGTTTGGAAGGGGGTTCCTGGTTGCAAGAACCAATTTCTTTGGGTTTGGTCACGTTGCAGTGGGAGGGAGGGGAGTTGGGGGCTGCAGTGCTGCTCAGTGAGAGCCTGGCCCTGGAGCAGGCACAGAGCCAGGCTGCCTTGGGGTGGGCTTGGTGCCAGGGGCTGCACCATGGGCGCTGCATTTCCCTCTGTGCTGGCTCACTCGGGAGTCTGA